AGGGGTATATCTAAAAATGTGCAAATGCACTATATGAAAATGAAAAGAAAAAGAAATTAAAATACTTCATGTCCTCCAAAGGACTTCTGCTAGAAATCACTTCTCATTAGAAGTCAACTCTTTTGAAATATCCTTCTTCTTTCTAACCATCTGAGGAACTTATTCAGCCATGCTCTTGATTATTTTCTTATGACCATCTGAAATACTTATCACTTACTTAGATCTAATGTCTTGCTCAATACTTTCTTTCTTTTGGTTTTGATTTTATATTCACCTACGTAGAACAGAATGGCTAACAGTGGACCTCAGGTTCTTATGTGGCTTTTCAGTCTTGTTAAATAATTCCCAATATCTTTTAGTAACCACACCTAATTAAAGAAATTTTACTGATATTCATCTTGATTGCGATATTATTATACAATATTTGAGGAAATATATCTCAATCCTAAAGAAAGGTAGTATTTTATATTCCTCTACTTTTCGGTCTTACAGCTTGACTGGGATAAGGAAATAATCTTTTCACGTACTTTGCTTGACTGGGATAATAAGAAGTTGAAGGTCTCAGCTTGAACAAATAATCACTTTTTCACCACCTAGGAAATTTAGTATCTATTCTAATAGTCTCATGATTTTTTTGTTTCAGTTAAACTTCATTTGAAGGAGTGGAGGAGTTCATATTCTTGACTTCTCTTTTTACTACCAATAACATCATTAGAACATGTAAGATAACCAATAGGAACTTGTTTACATTCAGCTACTAATGTGTTTCATGTCAACCAATAAGATGCCAGATGACAATGTGCTATCAAAAATTCAATATCAAACTGAGATAGGCAAAATTCCCCAAGAAAACTATGAAAAACAGTAAGTATTTTAAGAGGATATAAGACAGTATATGAGAAGGTGAAAAATAAGCCTTTCCCTATCAATAAAACCTCTATTTCTTGTCACTTTTAGCTCTGTAAGGTGACATTTTACTTGTCAGTCCTTTTGAAGCAAAAGATTTATAAAGATTTTTGCAATAAAAAGATTTATTTTCTTTCTTTTTGTCTATTTGTGTTCACTTAAAGCTTCCACATTCATAATTTTTTGAGGAACTTTATTTATCTCAATTTGATCCTGAATTTTGAGTAGTACAAATTCTTATCAAAAGTGATTGGCTGACACAAAACATATTAGTTTTTAGAATATAAATAAGCTTTTATTGATTACACTCATCTGTTATAATGATATCATTGATAATTGAAAAGAAAAGTTAATAAAAAGTTATCTTCCAACTGAGCAAATTCTCAAGAAAAACAGTTATAATATCAAAAGGCAAGTGAAAGATATGAAATATAGTATCCTTATTTTTTAATAAAATCTTTTAGATAGTGAGAAAATTTTTTCAAAAAGAAAGTTAAGGTTTTCAAGTTTCTATTCTGATCAGGTAAAGTTTTTGTAGAGACTTCTTTATCTCAATTAGGTTAACTATACTATAATGTGATGTTAATACTAATCTTGTGATAAATTAATTCATATATCAATAAAAAAATAAGTTTCTCAAATATTTTTTTTGAAGTTTTAATATTTAGAAATGATTAATTTCTTAAATAATCCAAAGTTTAGAGAATATCTTAATTAAATAGATCTTTTTTAAGAAAAGACTATTTACTTAAATAAAATTTTTTTGAAGGGCTTTGGATTATTATTATTATTTTTTTTTCTTTTTCCCAGTTTGTAATTCAACAATTTATTATTTTTTAGGATAATCTATAATGACAAATTATAAATAATAATTCTAATAGATAGAGATATAACCAATCTATCAAAAGAGTATAATAATGTTCCAAAATTTGACTTAGAGTATCCAGTTTAGATTTTGTTTTATTTAGTTCAAACTAACTTAGTGGACTCTTCATATTTTTTAAGTAATGTGATCTTTTAACTAATAATATGCAAAAATGAATTAGTTATCAAGTGAAAGTTCATATATATTGTAGATATTTTCTTTTAATATCTCAATAAAGACATATCCTGATGGCATAATTGTGGGTTAAAAAAAATAAATAAACTAAACTTCTATATAAAACTTAAACTAAAAATTAATAATAAAAGATATAAATTTTTAATATTATGAAAAAAAATTGAATTAAGAATAAATAGATAAACTAATAAAATATAAAAAAGATTTAAAATTAATTCAGAAAAAAAAATATGAAATCTAATACTATATATCAATGATTAATTACTTGAAAGAAAAGTACTAAAATCTAAAGATACAGTATATAAAATTATAAGAGTTTCTAATAATCTAATTAATATAGTAATAATTTTAACTTTTAATAATAATAAATATACTAAAGGATATTTCAAAGTTATATTTAGAATCGAGTTGATAAAGACAGGTGAATTAGTTATATATTTAACTTGTGTTATATGAACATTTTATGTACAGTTTACTTTAGTTTAAAAAAAAAAAAAATTTTTTTTTCAAGAATTTGATATTTAAAAAAATATTTTTCATTTTATTAAATCTGAATTTTAACCAATCGGAGATCACGCGTGAATTAACATGTATGTGCATGCATCTATTTCGCGTATAGTACGTGTTCTCTACGTGAAAATTATGAGTTCCGAGGATCCCGGAGAAATTTCGCTTTCTGAATTGCTGAAGAACCCCAATCCACTCGCACGAAATCCTCTCCAAATTGGACAGAGTATATTTTATGATCCTAATGAGGAGGATTTTCATAAAATTCTACAAACCCTACAATTTCAATGTGAACAAGAAAATGAGAAATTGAATAAAGTAAATTACCAGGATGGCATAATCTAAGCACGAATTCTTTCCTCTGAAAGTTAAATAACTTCTTATTTATAAAAAAAAGTTACGTTCTTTGACGGAATATTTTCAACAACAAAATCAGGAAATGGATGAAAATAAAAAGGTTTTTCTTTAATTCGATAATGAAAATCTTTATGAAAAAACAAAATCCGCTGATAATTCCTCAAAAATTTAGAGAATTACTTTATTGATGGCGGAAGAACAGCTATTGAGTCAAGAAATTGAAAAACAAAGGCAATGTAAATTCACAAGCTCTCAACCTCCTTGATAATGCGTATTATCGTTCACATCTGATTAGATCAGCAGAATGCGAATACGAGAATTCGTGTGCTAGGCGAACTTTCGGTGAGAAAACACGTTCATGAGACGGTCAAACAATATAAAAAAGCATTGCCGCAATTGATTCGGGAAGTAAAAGACACAAAAGAACAGATCACGCGGTTTGTGACGCGTCTAATTAAAATATTTCTTCGCGCTAATAACGTTTATCTTTAAACGTCCAAGTTCAATTTTGCATAGAGAAAGGGAAACTCTAAATTTGAATAATGCTATCCACCAAATTTTATCGGAAAGACTCGAACAACTTGTTGATAAACGTGTTACACGGGAATCTGAAATTCGGTATGGAACATATTTTCTGAGCAGTTTTACTTTTTCTATACTAAGGTCAGTTATTACAAGTAGCAGTGATCTTCGAGAGAGACTTGAGAATGTTCAAAATTCCTTTAATGAGTTAATTAAAGAATTGAACAATTTCGTTGAACAGAACTTTGAGAAAAAAAAGAGTGCGTAATAATCTTGATTTCTTCACACAATGAGAAAAGAAAGATGCAATGTGCATACTAATTTAAATGATCTTGGTAAGATAATAGTAGATAGCGATGAGGATTCAGATAACGAACAAAGAACTTCATCTCTTAAAGTAATCCTAGATGTAAGTGACATCTCTCAATTGTCTTCATATAAGTGTCATCAGTAGTAAATTTCATTTTTATCGTCTGATTTATTGATAATAAAGGATTTGATGGATCGAACATTCTCGGATCCTGACAATCCATACATGCGGATTGATACAGAAATAGTGTGGCCGCCATATATTGGAATGTTGATTCGTGCAGGAATTGCGCAAAGGCATCCAGATGACACAAACCTGATCAAACTGACATCATTCCACATGTAAAACTTTCACCAAAGATGCCTTAATGCATGTGATGCGAATAGTATTAACCAGAACGCGTTTCCACAGACCTTTATTTGCAGTGCATTTATGCAAAAAATTTTTTTATTTGTGCTTATTAAAAAAAATGTTAGAAGGAAAAAAAAAAAAAAATGCATGTGTAATTTATAAAAAATAAATGCGATTACCTGCTACAGACAATCTGTAGCAGATAATCACGATTTCTTTAAAAACAATAAATATAAAAAAATCATTATATATATTTAAGTAAATAAATTCCCCCAGACAGAAAATCGTTTAACCCATGTCAAAGGACAAACCTGCGCATTTAGTAACCAAAGTACTCTATTACATTTACCCAACGTTGTGTGAGTTTCCCAAAGTAATTTCAGTACAGTGGACTTAAGTATCAGCATTTTAACCCCTTGCTTTCGCTCGCTCCAACGCAGATATATTAACGTCAAGTGTCGAAAGAATGTGATCCCAGGAAATAAAGATTTCTGAAAGTGTGTTAATCTAAAAAATGAAAATCTCAAATCAAGGTTAATAAAAAAATTGGTAGGTTTATTTGCGAAAACAATTTATAACGTCGGTTGAAAAGGATACGGTGTTGTTATATCTATCCATTAAGGATGTTAAGCGAGTAGACATTTCATTTGTTTTAGATATTTGGCTAATGTTTTCGGTTTCGATGGGTGTAATTTGAGGAAAGAGTTTATCAAGACCTACACAATAGAAGTAGAAAAAAGTTATATCTATAAATAATAAATCAATAAATTTACCTCCCTCATTTAATACATACCTTTAAATTCGGGCGCATCAATTATACCCTTCAACTCCTCAATCTGTTTCAAATTCTCTGCTACCGTTTCTAATTCTTCGGCCGACGAGCAAATGATTTCTGCTTTAGCCTCAGGCGTGAGTATAGCTCTTTCCATTGCAAGTGCCGAGTCTTTGAAAGGAGATATGAGTTCCGAAACCTGGTCGTCTATTTTTTTTTATCATTATCACGAAAAATAGTTAGTCTATTTTCGGTTTGCTCTTTACGAAAAAAAAAATATAGATGTATATTTATTTATTTATTTATTTATTACAAATCTCGAGAAAAGATTTCAATCCATCGGCTCCATCACGGATTATAGCGTTAAACTCTTTCTTAATTTCGTCAACTCGTTTTAGCAATGTAAGTTGCTCTTTTAATCTTTCGTAAGCCAAAACTTTATTAGAACGTGCTTCGTGCCCAAAGATCGATTTTTCCAAGTGATACACTCTGAACTCCAAAGTTGAAAGACTTTGTCGTTCGACCAATATATCTTCAGCATGGACCATGTTTACAGGTGTTAATTTTTCTACAGTTTCCTCTCTATAATCTACCGAAGAGTCGTCGTCGTCGTCGCAAAACCAACCGTTTTGTTTTGCGTTTGCTAGTAATAAATTTTTCTGATCTTCTAATAAGGAAAGTCTTTTTGCAAGTTCCCCGCTTTCCATGGCATAGCGATTTCTGATTTATTGTGCTTATTTATTTGATACCCCGAGTTTTTCAGGGTGGCTTTTATATGCAAATTATGGAAAATTGCGGAATTTAACCAATAATCCAATAATCTGAATTCATGTGTTGCGCTTCGCTTTTTATTCTACATATGGCTAGGACTATGTTGGTGGTGTTATGATCCAGATAAGTGTGCGTACCTGCCAGTTTATTTTATTACTGTGGCAACGTGCATGAACTAGAATTGTTGGCTCACAATAGAACTTCATGGTTACACGAATCAAGCTAATGTGTGTAACGTATATTTTATTATTATTATGGCGGTTAATTCAACGCTATGTTTTATCACGTGAAAACCCAAATGTGATTGGTCGGTAATTTTTTTGATTTTGATGTGTATAAGCCATTGAATTCGACATCTTCCACTTGAAGTGTACACAATTTCAACACCTTAAGATCTGGTTCGAGGTTTGTATGGCTTTTCATAAAAATGCTTCGATGTCGTTTTAAAAAATGATTTGAAAGAGCGAAAAAAAAGTCAAAAAAATAACAGAGAAAAAAACGTATAAAAATAGGATCTATAAAAAATTAAGCCAGCGACATCAAGCAAAAAAAAAAAAAAAAAATACTTGTCTTTATAACATTTGGTATGTTTTTATTGGGTTTGGGTCTTTTAACACTTTGCCTTTTGTTACTTTGTTTTTATTTTGCCCACGTTCGCGTTTTGGGCTGTCTAAATTGCAGTCTCAAAACGAGTTTTTGGTGGGAGCGAACCACGAATGCAATAAATCAACGTCATGAGTAAACATCAATGGCCAGCAACTTGTTTGTCAGGTCCCTTTGTTCATGGCATTCTTTTTTGATCCCTTAAATTCGAGAATCAAATAATATGAAAAAAAAAAAAGTCTAAATCAAACCTATGTTATATGGGATATTTGGTTGGAAGATATTCCTCATCGTTTCGAAATAATTATCCATAATGGCCGAAGAAAATCAAACCGCCGTTCAAATCGAAGAGATTCAAGAACACCAAGAAGAAGGTGAAGATGCCGAAGCGGTAATTATAACTCTATTTCGTTGAGTTTCTTTTCGAATAATTGGTGTGTTACAAAACGGAAAATTTCACACCATCTTTTTGGTAAAGGAGCTCGAGGCAATGAAACAAAGGGTAAAAGAAATGGAAGAAGAAGCTGCTAAACTCCGCGAGATGCAAGCTCAAGTTGAAAAGGAAATGAATTTGACTACAGAAGGTATTTTCGCATGAATTATTATTTTTATCTTGAACTTTCTTAATTTATTATCACAATGCAGATGATAAGGAAGCAATTGATGCTCGATCAATCTACGTCGGAAATGTAAGTATTTTATCATAAATCACTTTTTTTTAAAAAAAAAAAAAACAAAACAAATAAATGCAACATTACGCTAAGCCATTTGCACAAATCTCCAAAGGTGGATTATGCTGCAACTCCTGAAGATTTACAAAATCATTTTCAATCTTGTGGTACAATAAATCGAGTAACAATTCTCTGTGATAAGTACAGCGGCCATCCGAAAGGGTAACGAACAGGAGAATTATGTTTTATATGGCAGTTTTGCTTTTCTTTTTTTTTTTCAGTAATGACATTTCCACCTATTTATTTTCGTAGCTACGCTTATGTAGAATTTGCGGATCCCTCATTAGTTGCTCATGCAATGCTGTTGGATAACACAGTATTACGTGGACGTCCGATCAAGGTAAGTACAGATCGATTAACAAAATTAACTGTCGTCGTCTTATTGCAACCACAAAAATTATAAAAATTTTTTCCTTAGGTTACCGCGAAACGCACAAATATCCCCGGATTTGCTAGAGGAAGGGGAGTTAGAGGTCGTGCTAGTTGGCGAGGTGCATTTTATGGTCACGGCGCCTACTTTGGCCCAACTTTTAGAGGAGGTCGTCCAAGGTAAAATGGATACATCATGTATAATACATTGGCTTAAAAAGTAATCCGTACTTAAGAAATTTGCATCCTCTTTTTTTCCGGTTTGATAATGCAGAGGGCGGCGTGCTGCATCATACGCACCTTATTAAGAGTCGCAAATTGAAAGCTTCGATTGGTCATGAAATGCATGAACAGGTTACACGAACAATAAGTTATTTCAAACATTTAATTATAGCTTAGTACAATGTTTAGTTTCCCTGTTCATTAACTTCATTAGTTTTCAGTATATTCTTCCCGTCTATCATTTGGTTTTCGTTTTCTGTTTTAAATATCCTCAGTTGGGTATTTTACTCTTCGTGCAACTTTAATAGTTTATTATATACACTCGAAAATAAAAGATTTAATTCAGAAAGATCTCATGTTTTAATATCATCATTTTCCCTTGTGCAGTCGACGCCAAAAGTAACGCTCGATTTAGTAATTAAATCACAAGGGCGAATAAAAGTGTTACGTTTACCCCTATTTTGATATTTTTGAGATTTCACTTTTTTCTTGTTTATCCCTTCGACCGTCAACTAAACGTGAGGAAAAAAAAATACTAGCTCAATATGACATGTCACTATATCCAGCTGATCAACACGAAGAAAGAAAAGATACTTGCCTATGTTGAAGAAATAGGTCCTTAGCAAGTTGCACAAAAAATGGGATGAGACAATTTCTTGCCAATGCAAAATGATCAAAATCTTTATGTTCTAAAAAATCGCAATTCTCATTCAACAAGAAAAAAACAAAAAAAAACAAAGTTATTATGGGATACACTGTAATTAATAGATTAGATTTTAATTATAGTTTAACAATTGCTTTTCAAGTTTTTTTTTTTAATTAGTCAGCTCAATTACAATTGCTATTCAAGTATTATATAAAGAAATTGATATAAAAAAAAATCAAATATAAAAATATACTCAATAACATTATTTTTTTTGAATAAACAAGTATAAAAAAAAAACAATTATATTAGATAACAATATAAAATCATATTAGTATATAATATAATTACAATGTTTATATAAAAATCTCTTTTTATTGATTCTTTGATTATATACAAAAAAGATGTTTACAAGAAGTTTTTTATTTCTTTACTAATAAAGTCTTAATATTTTTCTTAAAACAACTTGAAGTTTGACTTCAAAAGTCATTTCTAT